GTATTAAAGTAATTTTATATTTAATATAATTCATCTTATTAATAGAATTCCTTAACTTGTGATTGACAACAAAACACCATTTAAGGTACAACATAGAAGACAACCATAGTATGATCATTTTAAGGTCTTTGGATGTCTGACATTGCATCCATATTAACAAGTAATTGACATAAATTTGATGTTAAGTTAAAAGATGTATTTTTCTAGGGTACCCGTTTGGCACAAAAAGGTACAAATTGTTTAAAGTGTAAACAGGTAAAATCATCATATCAAGAAATGTAACCTTAAATGAAAGGGTATTTTCTTGTAGGAATAAAAAATAAAGGAATGAGTCATATACTTCACTAAAATCAAGATATGATTCAATAAGTGTCCCATAAATTACTTTTCTCATACGAGAAGGGACTAAAAATTATATTGGAAGAGTAAGAGACTTAAAAATTATATTGGAATTCTAAAACCGAATAGAAGAAGTAAACATAGGTGAAGAATCAAATCATGACGAACAAGAGACAGAATAATTCTCTATGCACAAAGAGGTTATTATTAGTTGCAATGTGTTAAAAAAGAAGTCAACTAGATTCAAAAGCCAGCTAAATGCTTGAGGGATTATGTTTGTGAGCATATTCAAAATCAAAATCATAGTCCATAGAATTCAAACAAGGATAAGCATCAATTAAATGAAGTCATACCTATACCGACAATAATTGGATATGTCAGGCTTATTGGGGGGAGATAGAAAGTCTATATTGAGTGTGACATCTCAAACATAACCAAGTTCATATGAGCATACTAGTAGAGATACAAATTGGAGAAATGCCATGAAGAATAAACTTCAAGTACTTGAAGAAAATAAAACATGAAATATTGTTAACTTGCCATTGGATAAAAAAAAGCAATTAATTGTATGTGGGTATACACGATGAAATTCAAGGCAGATGAATATGTTGAAAAATATAAAACCATATTGCTGGCAAAAGGTTTCACCAAGAGAGAAGGTTTAGATTGTCATGAAATCTTCTCATTAATGGCAAAGATAGTGTTAGTTTGAATGCTCTTGGCTTTATCTATAAACAAAGGATGACATATCAATGGTTTGATGTCAATAATGTGTTCCGCATGGAGACCTAAATGAAGAAGTATAAATGGAATTGCAACCCATATATCTAAAAAAAAAAGGAAAGAAAGGTATGCAAACTCTTAAAAAGTTTGTACTACCTCAAACAAGTGTCAAGATAGTGGTACACTAAATTCTTAGATTTTATTATCATACAATCGTTCAGTCAATCCAAGTTCGACTAAAGTGTTTTCATGAAAATAAATGGTAAGAGTTTTATAGCCTTATTTATCTTGAATATATAATTATTGTAGGTGATGATGAAAGCATGATTATTTAAATGGAAAAACTAGATAATGAGTTCAAGATTGAATATTTAGGACAATTAAAGTATTTCCTTAAAGTTGAGGTTATCAAGTCTTAAAAAAATAGTATACGTATGTCACAGGAAGTATGCACTGGATTTATTAAAAGATGCAGGTTTATTAGATGCGAAAATTTCAACACTGCCACTATATCATATGTCAAGCTATCCAAGGATGGAGGAAAGTTGATTTTATATCCAAAAATATACAAGAGGTCGATTATGAGACTCATGTACCTAACACTTAATAGAACAGATTTGGCATACTCAGTATAGGTCCTAAGTCAGATCAACACTTGAAGGTTGCCTACAAGGTCATGGGGTACGTTAAAGAAACACAAGGACAAGGTTTATTTTATTCAAACTTGTTTAAGTTGAAATTGAAAGCTTATACTAATAATGAATGGGTAAGATGCCCTAATACAAGAAGGTTTATCGTAAGCTATTATGTCATGTTTGGAAACTCATTAGTCTCTTGGAAGTCAAAAAAACAGCAAAGTTTCTAGGTCATCAATAGAAGCAGAGTATCAAGCAATTGTAAGTGTATGTTGTGAGCTTACATGGATTATGTATCTCTTAAAACAATTTTGGATTAAGTCACCCAGAGGCAATAATGTTGAATTATGACAATAGAGCAACTATACATATAACTACCAACCTAGTATTTTATGAAAGAACTAAATATATTGAGTTACATTGATATCTGATAAGAAAAAGAATTAAAGATAGAAGTGTAGTGACAAAGCATGTGCATAGCAAACAATAACTAAGTTATGTTTGGATATTTTAGAAAACAGTTCAAAAAATTAATTTTAACTGATTAATTAATTTATAAATTAATATACTATTATGTCTATTTTTTATTGTTATCAATTAACTTGTCTTTTTAAAACATCTATTTTAATTTTTTTATTAGAAAATTAAAAAAAAAAACTAATCATTTGAAACAAATAAAAACTATCTTATACCAAATTATATCGAAAAACAAAATTAAGAACTAAATTATGATTAAATATCAAATTTTCGGGATTAATTTGATAATTTGTCATGAGAACAAAAAGTAAGGTTACTAATTGTCCCAATTGAAAAAAAAAAAGTAAGACGTAATTTTCTTTTATACAAATTAATTTTAACTTAAAACCTTATAAAAAGTTACATATAAACTCATTATATTTATGATGGATGTTTTTATGAGACCTCTAAGACATTATTACAACTTATATCCTCAACCATTGAATTTGTTTTTACTTAAATTAAGAAATAAAAACTTTAAATCGATAAATAAAAATTAGTTGTTAAACTATGACATCATTAAATGTATACACATTAATCATTTTGTGGCAAAATTTTTATCATTTTAAAAGATAGTTTTATAATCACCTTTGTTCAAAGTAATTATGTTTTTTTTTTAATTGTTAAATTAGGAAGACTTTGATTGAAAATTTGATTTATTTAAAAGATTAAAGAGTTAATGCGTAAGGATTAGTTTAATTATAAAAATTACTAAATAAGATTGAGTTCTAGTATGATATATATATATATATATATATATATGTAATATTAATAAGTTGACTTATTTTGACTTTTAAAAAGTTGAAGAAATTACCAATTTAATCACTAAATGATTTTTTTTAAATTAAAAAAAAAATATATTCAAAAAGATTATTTCACTACAATTTTATTTTTAAAATTAAAAATTTATTTCAATTTAATCTTGTCACAATTGTGAAAATGTTAACACAAGATTTTTTATTTAGCTCGTATGCTATTTGGGATACAGTTTTAAACTTAGGAGTGGGTTTTGGAGGTTTCTAACTAAAAGAGAAACACAGCCCAAAAGTCTATTTATGTATCCATAAGTTCTGTGAACCCAAGCAGCAATTGGTAATTTCATGGAAACAGTATTTTAAAAAAAAATAAAATAAATTTATGAACAAATTGATCAAATATATTTTTCACAAAATTCAAAATCAAAATATAATTGTTAATAAGTCAAAGTACAAAAGTTAATATATACCTTTTAGAAAACTTAGAATATTTTTATAACTATTTCTATTAAAAGCGAATTTAATAAACAATTATTTTAACAGTATTTAAAAATCATAAAAACAAAAACAAAAAAAAATGGTTATATTCATATCTAGCTTGTAATCCGGTTAAAACTTGTGGAGAAAATTTGTTTTCAGTTTCTCTGAAATTTTTGGCTACCTCGGTGCCGCTAATATACGCCTAAAAAGAGCCTTTGCATAAACAATTCACCTGTGGAAATGGATCCTTCTTCTTCTCTGAAGGGTTTTGTTCCGTTCCTCAGAAAACACAGCAAGTGGCCTCTTTCTCCATTCAAAGCTAAATGGCAACAAACATTCAATCAACAGCTCGCCATGGAAAACCTTAAAAAATCTCTTATACCACCATCACCACCCTCCTCACAAAAACAGCAAGATTTAAACAAATCCCATGTTCTCTGCTCTCTAATGCGCTCTTTCACTATGTACAATTGTCACCCAACACCTAACGCCTACCGCTTTGTCATCAAAACCCTGATTAAAACCTCTCAGTTTCACCACATTCCCCACATCCTCCACCATCTCGAACGCGTTGAGAAATTTGAGTGCCCAGAATGTATTTTCACTGATCTCATTAGGGTTTATGGCAATGCCGGTAATGTCCAAGATGCTGTTGATGTTTTTTATAAGATACCCACGTTCAGGTGTGTCCCTTCTGTGTACTCCCTCAATGTTCTGCTCTCAGTTCTTTGTAGAAACCAAGAACGTCTTGGAATGGTGCCTGAAATTTTGTTGAAGAGTCGGGTTATGAATATAAGA